CGTGAAGGTAAGTCTACAGTCCCAACCGCCGCTTTACAGTCCTATTGGTGAGCTCTGCGGCATAGACCGGGGCTTCGAATTCTCGTCTTCGAATTGAAATATTGTCTTCGAAATTCTCAGCGCTCAGCGGCTCTATCAGGACGGCGGCGTCTATTACTACGTTCTCGTTATTCTATTATGCTGCCTTGTATCACCCTTCGGAGGGTGAGGGGAACGATACCTTGAGGAACGCATTAACACTATATTTTGCACGTACACCTATGTACACGCTTGCATTCCCTCGCATGCAGAATGTAAGGATTAGATATTCGTGAAAATGACGAAAGGGGCTCAGAGATTCATGAAAGCAACTGAGCCCGGGGTCTTTCACGCGTGCGAAGTGGTGGCAAGGATGGCTATGCATCACTGATGTTACGTTGCATGGGACCGTACTGTCGTACTGTAAACTTATCGGTCGTAAGATTTACTTCCCATGTCCCAGTTTTGTAGATAGGCCATTCTCTATCCCCCTCCCCCATGTTTCTTGACCTTGACGTATCCGTATTCACTGCATACCATCTTTATTATTCTTCGCAACTACGTGTATAACTACACATGTACACACTACCAGCCACCAGGGCGAGACACTACGTTATTTAGTGCAAACATCTTTCAGAGCAATGGCGAGAATCTTTTAATCTTGGCCTTTTGGGAACTTCCAGGAGGATCATGAGATGGGCGCAGCTTGCTCGGCTGGCGGCGCGTTCACGACGGCTTCCACCTCCTTAGAGAGCCCTTCGGGAGATTGGTCCTGGTTGTCAACTAATGTTGCGGGAGTCGAATCACCTGATTCGCTGCTCAACCGTTAGTACGGGTAGTTTGGCCAGGACTAAAAGGGAACGTACTGTTCGCTCGTCGCCGTAGCAGGTGAGTCTTCAATTCGTGTGCCATCAGGGGCGATCTTACAAGCTCTGTGATAGGCATAGTTTAGAGTTTGACTTGCAAGGAAGTATGAACGGCGTCAGCGGGGACTCACGAGCAGATCTGCTCCCAGTACGAGTCAAAGTCGAACTCGTAGTCGAACTCGCCGCCGAACTCTTTGTAAAGGTGCTCTTTCGGGATGAGGTCGAACAAGTTGGGGTTGAATCTGATCTACCGAGCAAGCCGTTTGAATTAGCGATCAGTAGAGGTGCCACAGTGGGGGCATACCTTATCGCGGGTGACGGGATCTAAGAACGGCGAGATGCCTTTGTAGAAGAAGCTGAGCAGGGTGGGGAGGTTCACTACGACGCCTCGTCCGAGGGTTTCTACGTAGTGATTTTGGAGAATGTGCAGGACCTTGCGGGCTACGGATATAGACGGGTTTGTCCGTAGAGTCGTCTTGCTGTAGTCAATGAGGATGACGCATGACTCGACGCCGGGTGGCATAAGATCCTTCGTGCGTTCTCTGATTCCTGGGGTATCATTACTCGTAAGACCAGCAAGCAGGGATGGACGTACAAACACCAGACAAGGTGCCGAAGCTGCCGAGGCGTATGTTCTGTGTTCTCTCGGTCTGGTCGCATGTGGATTATTGGCCGCCCATCTCTATCGAAGCCGTTGATAATACTAGAGGCGACTCAGCACAGAGCGCTGACAGGACTGAATTGACTGAATCGTACATCTTCCCAGTCTCTGCCTCTATCTTGACCTGTGAATGACGTCGGCATCTCGGAGTGAAACAAAGTTAATTTAGGCAAACTGACCTCGTCGGGTGGGATCAGGTCCGGCTTGTACTCCCTCCGCCATTCCAGCGTACCCTTGATGCGCTTCTTGCCGTCCTCGAGCTTCCATTTCGCAGCCCTCATGTACCGCGGAATCGTATCGGGCTTCGTAAGCCACCGCAGCTCCCACTTATGATACGGGTCGCTCTCCGGCAAGAGCAATGTATGCGCGTACTGCATAGAACGAGTCAAATACTGAATTCCTGTCGGTGCGAGCACGATCGGACGCCATACCTCTCTCAATGCCGTGATCTGCGCCTGCTGCTCCTCGGTGTACTTCCACGGCTTGATCTCGGTGCCCGGGGCGGGCGTCGTCAATATTTTGTGCGTCGGGGCCATCGTCGGTCGTCGTAGAGCGTGCAAACAAGGTGCTGAGAAATGGCCGAGCGTCTATGATTTGACATGTCTGGCGTCCTCGGCGGCTTGACTCGATGGTAATCGCCAATGACAAAGACCCACCCGATCAATGCCGTGATGATCGTGACATGCTGCGTTACACTGTAACATCACGTGCGCGTTGCTTAGTCAGCAAATTTGTGCTGCACTTTCGACTCGGACTCCGTTTTGCCAAGAACCTGCAGGCTTTCATTTTGCTGCTCTCTGACCTGTCACCATGCATCTCATGTATACGTTAGACGAGAACGGGAACAGGATCTACACGTTGAAAGTGAGTGTTCTTTGCAAACATGCCTGTCTTGTGCTCAATGGAGAACGTCTTACCAGAAAGTCACGGAGAGCGGTAAAATCACCAAGTCTGCTCATCCTGGTGCGTGGCCTTGCGAACGTGCGTTAGGGCCTCTCAATTGAACGCGGACATTGCTTTCCAGCTCGTTTTTCTCCGGACGACAAGTTTTCACGCCACCGGGTGACCATCAAAAAGCGCTATGGTGTCCTCTTGACCCAGCTCCCTGCGAAGCCGATGTAGGCGAGCTGCGGCTTGGAGGTTCGCTGTTCACGGACCCTCGGATGCAGAAGAGAAATCAGCAACGATGGCGCAGCCTCTCCGACACCAATAACGCCCATGCGTGATGGGTGGCAGTGGGAGACTGCCCGTGGTTTTCCCAGCTGTTCCTGAGGAGAGACCGCTCTCACAGGTCCAGTTCCAGGAATAAATGTCAAAAGAGCAGTGTCACTTGCGCAGCTATGTTTACAACTTTCCGGGACTGTCGCGGCGTGGCTCTCCGATTGCGATTCTTGTATTTGTCTGGAATGTACTCTAGCTTTCCGTATTTGTGTGTACGCGGTAATGGAATTGGGCAACGTCAGGCGTGCCGGCGTGTAGCCGTTCCTTGCTGACATGCGTCCTGCAAAATTGCAGAGTTGCAAGGCGAAATACCACAGAACAAAGTGACGCACAGGCGTTTGAGCTTGGAAGGCACTGTAAGTAGAGCCGAAGCCAGGCCGTGGCTTCCAGAATTGGAACGTGTCTCGCAGGCGCCGGTGGCTACCGTTTCTGCACTCCTCTTCGCAACCTCCTACATCATCCCCCCGCCGCTTTTCCTCCTTCCCTCGTCCACCGCGAGCCTCCGTCGACCGCACCCACCGCGCAGGCCCGCGACGACGACGCACGCGTCGCCATGGATCACCGCGAACAACGCCCCCCACGCTCCCGGCCCCCTCAGTCCCCGCCTTCCTACAAAGACCAGGCCGACTATGGCCGACCCTCGCTATCCCCGCTGCCCTACAATGCCTCGCGGAATAACATCTCATTCAATGATATGGAGCGAGGCGAGCGGCAGGGCCCTGTGGAACACGACCGCCGCATGCCCTCGGCTTATTCGAATTCCGTGGATCCCGAAAGCTCATCTGACGGGCGAGTGCTGAGGAAGAAGAGTTTGGTCAGGCCCGACCGTGAAAAGATCGAGCCTGGACATCGACAGTGGCACTACCGCACTCATGCTGCGCAGTTGGAGGAGGAAGGGCGAGGTCGGGTAGGCGTTATGCCCTCAAGTAAGTTGTCAGTCCAGATTGCGTTCAGCGCAGAATCTAATATGTTCCAGCGACCGGAAACGCCCCTATGCCGCCCCAGCTGCGACGAGGCAAGTCGCTGCTGGAGAGAGACCAGGAGGACGTGCCAGAATCGGGTCTCGCTCTGTTCAGGCGTGGTGGGACACTGCGCCGGCGAAAATCACAGAGTGGTGCTGCAGCTGTACCAGGCCCGAAGAAGCGCTCGGGTTGCTTCGACAACATTGGGCCGGGACCCAAAGATTCGTTCTTCATCTATTCCTATATCATCACCTGCTTCGTTCCTCCTATTTTCCTCCGTGCTTGTGGTGAGCAGCTTTTCCGATCTCATGATCTTCGCACCTAACCTATCGTGATAGGCATTAAGACGCCAGAACAACAGCGAGCATGGCGGGAGAAGATGGGTCTCCTCAGTTTCATCATGATTCTTATGGCTGGAGTCGGTTACCTGACTTTCGGCTTTACTGAGACGGTCTGTGGTCGGCCACCTAATCGGTACCACGCCGGCCAGATTACGAACGGCTCGGTGATCATCCACGGGTACGACTATGACTTCACCAGGTTCAAGCACCCGAATGCGCCGCCGATGTTCGACGGCACGACCAACCCTCTCGAGACGGGCGGCTGGAACCTCGCGGGCAACGACGCGTCGTTTTTGTTCCAGAAGGTCAATCAGAACTGTGCTGGCTTGATCAAGAAGGGCAGCGCCTCGAGTATCACCGGCAGCGGGAATAACTTGGACTGGTATTTCCCCTGTAACGTGTACAACCAGTATGGCACGTCTCCGGCGAACTTGACTGGGTATGAGGATTCCACGAATTGTCATACATCGTCGACGGCGAGGAGTGGCTTGGCGCAGATGAACCCTATGGGACAAGTGTACTATACGTGGGATGATGTCAAGAATTCGTCAAGGAACCTCGCAGTATACGAACAGTAAGCCATTCCATCTCTCATGACGGCAACAAAGTGTTGATCCCTGAATATGCAGATCCGTCTTGGACTTGGGCCTCCTACAGTGGTTGAACAGAGCTCAAGTCGACTACCCGGATATCTTCGACCAGATCAAGTATGCTAACGGCTCCTATAACGGGAGGGACCTTACCGGCTACTTCCTTCGGACAAACCAGAAGCAGGTCGCGAAATGTCTCGAGGACATTGTTACTGTCGGTTTCATCGACACCAACACCATCGGATGTGTGGCCTCGCAGGTCGTCCTTTACCTCTCTTTGGTGTTCATCATTGGCGTCGTCGCCATCCGGTTCGGCATGGCCGTCGTGTTCGCGTGGTTCTTCTCGTCGAAACTCGGGACGTTCAAGCATGAGACGTACGAGCAGCGGATGCAGCGCCAGGCTGAGATTGAGAATTGGACGAACGATATCTACCGCCCGGCTCCGAGCCAGTACAGGCCCAATGTCAACAAGCATGGGCTGGCGCCGAAGAAGATCGGGAAGAAGGGAGGGTTCTTGCCTAGTACCTCTAGGTTTACGCCCTCGGACAACCTCCTGAAATCGATGGGTGGAAGGCCGGCCACTGCCTATGGCATGTTGGATAACAAGCGCAACACCTATTACGGGTACGCTCTTTGCCTCTTTCACACGTAGACATTGTGAGGACTAATCATCTGGTGATTGTAGATCTCGTAGCACCACGTCCTTGGATGCTTCTCCGCGCGGGTCTTTTGTGGACAGCGTTTGTCCCTTCCCTCTGCACAACGTCGTCCCGCAACCTCCGCCAGATTACGAACCCTTCGGCTACCCGTTGGTGCATACAATTTGCCTGGTTACTGCTTACTCGGAGTCGGTGGAGGGCCTGAGGACGACGCTGGACTCCCTCGCAACTACGGATTATCCTAACAGTCACAAGATGATTTTGGTTATCGCGGACGGTATGGTCAAGGGTGCCGGAAACGACATGACTACCCCAGACATCGTGTTGACGATGATGAAGGAATTCGTCATTGCCCCGGACGAAGTCGAGCCCCACTCCTACGTTGCCATCGCTGACGGTCACAAGCGGCACAACATGGCCAAGGTATATGCTGGGTTCTACGACTACGACGATGCAACTGTGGAGATGTCGAAGCAGCAACGTGTGCCTATGGTGTTGGTAGCGAAGTGCGGTAACCCTCTCGAGGCGAACGATGCCAAGCCTGGTAACCGTGGCAAGCGTGACAGTCAGATCGTGCTCATGTCGTTCCTCCAGAAGGTGATGTTCGACGAGCGCATGACGACTATGGAGTACGAGTTCTTCAACTCGATCTGGAGGGTCACCGGTGTCAGCCCAGATCGGTACGAGATGGCGCTCTGCGTGGATGCGGATACGAAGGTCTTCCCGGATTCGTTGTCTCGTATGGTTGCTGCTATGGTTCAAGATGAGGAGATTATGGCGCTCTGCGGTGAGACTAAGATTGCCAACAAGGCGGAGACGTGGGTCACTATGATTCAAGGTGAGTAGTTGAGTTGTGCCTTGTGTGGACTAACCCTGAAGACCTTCCTAGTCTTCGAGTACTACATCTCTCATCATTTGACCAAGGCATTCGAATCCATGTTCGGTGGTGTTACTTGTTTGCCAGGGTGTTTCAGTATGTATCGCATCAAGGCCCCCAAGGGTACCTCTGGCTACTGGGTTCCCATCCTGGCCAACCCGGATATTGTGGAGCACTACTCCGAGAACGTCGTGGATACACTGCACAAGAAGAATCTGTTACTCCTTGGAGAGGATCGATACCTCACGACGCTCCTGCTCAAGACGTTCCCCAAGCGCAAGAACATGTTCGTACCTTCGGCCGTTTGCAAGACTATTGTCCCCGACACGTTCCACGTCCTCTTGTCTCAACGTCGTCGCTGGATCAACTCGACCATCCATAACCTGGCGGAGCTGCTACTCGTCCGTGATCTCTGTGGAACGTTCTGCTTCTCTATGCAGTTTGTCGTAGGGATGGAGCTCGCCGGAACGCTCGTTTTGCCTGCGGCCATCAGTTTCACTCTTTATCTGATTATTATTTCCATCATTCCTGGCGGCACCAACACGACTATCCCTCTTATCTTGCTGGCTATAGTGCTGGGTCTACCGGGTCTACTCATTGTCATCACGTCTCGCAAGATCGCCTACCTCGGATGGATGATAGTCTATCTCCTTTCCCTGCCTATCTGGAACGGTATCCTTCCGGCGTATGCATTCTGGCACTTCGACGATTTCTCCTGGGGTCAGACTCGACAAGTCGCCGGTGATAAAGGTGGCGACCATGGCGACAAAGAGGGAGAGTTCGACTCTTCCCATATTATGATGAAGCGGTGGGCTGAGTTCGAGCGCGAGAGGAGATGGAAGAGTGGTACGCAGTCAAGGGATTCTACCTGGAACGACTTGCGGTCTGGCTCGCCGAAGCGGTATGTCACGCATCTTTTCGGGGGCATCCTTGTGCTGATTGTTTAAAGGCCCGATAGTAACCGGTACTCCACGGTTTCCACTGCGGAGACTTTCCAGCCCCCTTCGCAGGCGTATGATTCCAGCACGTATAACGACTCGAACTACAGCGGAGGCCAGCGGCCCAGATATGACAGTAACCAGCTGCTCATGCTGCCGGCGCCGTTGGCTGTGAATCAGAATAAGCCCATGCCTCCAACCCCCGCCACTACGTCGTCCTCGTTGACAGCGGGGGCGCGGTCAAGTGACGAGACCTACTCAGGGCCGTCGGATGCTTATGGTTCAAACCAACGACTGACTCCCATCAGTCCTCAATCCGACCAGCAATACGATAACCAAGAGGACCCATATGCACACCTCCCTTCGCCTATGGCGCGCTACCAGGGCCCAGGGTTTGAGTCTGCTGTTCAGCGGGCAGCTGGCAATAATGGCGTTTTGCGCAGCACGACGGTGTCCAGCCAGCACCCAGGGGAAACGTTCAACCCTTACTATAACGCCCAGCCCCAGGCTGTTGGGTACGAGGATCAACAGTACCAAGGATACTCTGCCGAGCCCGAGGAGATGCTAGCAGGGTCGAGTAGTCTCCCTCCACCGCCCCCGCCGAATCCAAGGTCGCGCGGTGTGAGCTTGATGGACCGTGGGCCAGTGTCGGGTCCTGACGGCGTCCGTCGGGTCTCAAGGCCCCAAGGTCGGCGACCGACATCGCAGGCACCGCCTCAGAACCGCTACTCACGCTCTCAGTATCCCAATAACCTGCCACCGGGTGCTGCAGCTCCACAACCAAATTACGGTAGCGGATATGATGCATACCGGTGAGAAAGCGCTGCTTCCCTTTTGGACACAATGACTTTGCCATTTCCTGTTGTTCATTACTTGAGTGTCTGGACTTGTTTGCCCAAGTGTGTCTACCATTCCGTTTCATGAACATAGCCCTCAAAGTAGTCACTTATCACACTGGACCTTGAGATCTTACGATACCTCCTCGACGACGCCTAGGTAGTCTTTTCCCCCTCTCCATATTGTCGTGCCTAATTTCACATTTTCGTCGTCATTACAAGTGGGAGTCCTCATACCTTGACCATGCAATGACCATCCCCTGCTTTTCCTAAGTTCAGCCACTATGTGTTATTACAAATGCGATGTATATCCCAATACCAAACGTTTAGTTAATTGTCTCGGACTCTCCCTGTACGATCTGTACGTATATGAACTATGACCGCGGCGATTGCCTCGTAAACCAACTCTAAAATAGCAATAAACGAGCGCAGTACAAGGCACAGGAGACTTGTCCTTAGCCAATACAGGTCATAAGAAGCCACTGGTACTGTTGGAAGCTCTGGGGTAGTTTCGTCTTGATTGTGTCGCTTCACCAGCCATCGCAGACAAAATCCATTCTCCGTATGACGAACGCGGACCAAGGCCCTCGCAATGGCAAGGTCCATAATGAGAAACGCAAGCGTCCTGGCCGCGTACCGGTGTCCTGCGCCGAATGCCGTCGGTAGGGATGCACCATATTTTGAAGTATGCAATAGCTCTGAAACCGCTTGCACGAAGGCTGAAGACTCGGTGCGACCGCAACATTCCTTGTGAAGCTTGCGTCAAGAAGGGTTGTGCTGCCATATGTCCGGAAGGTATTTGCGAGCTCTTCGGAACGCTAGAGCATTTTGTCACCTGTGATATTTAGGATCGCTGGTGGCAGGTAGAAATAACCGGTAAGTGATGACAATCAATATCCCATGGGTTTACGGTCCTCAAATAGACCGGCGACTCCTAGTCTTATCCTTGCAAATACCGAGGAGCTACATGACGAGATCGAGCGCCTCCGCACTCGACTCCGCGAAGTAGAGGATGAATCAAAGAATCTCCGTCAGCGGTTAGAACAGCAGCAGGGGCACAGCCCTCCCAGTATCGACACAGCGGCTAGTACCCCCGCCCTCAGCTCGGGTAGTTCAAGTAATAATGCACAGTCCCCGGGCACGGGTAAAACGGAGGAAGAAAATCTTGTCGATGCCTTCGGTGGGTATTGTCTATCCGCTCACTGTGCTCAGACCACGATGATGATCTAGGCACACTAACTGTGGGCCCGCGCGGCGAGACAAAGTTCTACGGGCCAACCGCCCGATCCGAGGTAAGGGGTCCTTAACCTTTGTCACTCTTCTACCTGACCATCATCTTAGTTCTTAGCATATGTAAGCCTGGATGAAATCTCGCATCTTAGGACGACAGCTGACGATTGCTACAGGCGGTTTACCGACGAATACCACCCATGGCTTGTTCTTCAAAACTAACCCAGGACTTATTGGACGCGGCATCCGCTACTCCCAGCCGCTTCCCGTCCACAGTGGCCATGAATGACAATATCAAACAGAAACTTGAAGCCGCCCTTCCCTCCCTAACTGAGGCGTACAAGTTATGCAATTCCTTTTTAGAGGCTGGAAAATACATGTAAGACCAGTGTCCTACTTCTAGAAAATCCTCTACTGACTTTGACCCGCGCAGGTACTATCCACTTCCCCGCAAGGAGGTATTCGACGAGCTCCTGCCCAATATATACGGAAGTAGGTAAGTAACACATTGCCTGCTCTTGTGGTATCCAACGAACTAAATTATCCCCACCGATCAACGATGTTTCACTCAGCAACCCAACACAGGATGTCCCCGACTCATTGCCTCTCCTTTTCATTATCTTTGCCTTCGGGATACTAGGGGACCTGTCAAAACCACTGGTCTTACATCAAGCCAACGAATTCTACATGCTTGCGCGGGTGGCTCTGAACCTGAAGTCAACTCTCAGGGATACGACTTTGCTTTGGGTGCAAGCACTGGTGAGCGATGTTGTTGGCTTTCTAGCTCTATCTCAACATCAAGCTTCGCGGTCGATGAGTAGATCTATATGGTACAGTATGTTGATATAGTAGAGCTGGAAGGAACGAGTATGCCTTGGATAGACATCGGCATTGCTGTGAAATACGCTTACAGCGTAAGTGCTCTCGCTCCTCCTGCTCTGGAGACTATATTCACAGTGAACTTCGCTGGCACAGATTGGTCTGAGTCAGTAATTTGGAAGTACCATTAACTGCCGCATCTTATGTCCCGACAGATCTGAAAGGTTCCCGTTGGGGGCTTGATCCAGACACTGCCATGAGGCGCAACCGCACATTCTGGCACCTGTTCAAGCTTGACACATACATTGTCAGTTCCATCTTACTCCAAGCAATGTTCTCTTAGTAACATTGACTACTTACGTAGAGCTTCGGCTTCGGACGACCGCCTTCCATCTCCCTCGAGTTTGTAGAATGTGATTTTCCTCCTGACATTCCGGAAGTGACCGATGAAAATGGCACTCAAGAGATAGGCTGTGAGTGAAACATAGTAATCAAAGGAGGTACCCTTTCTTGATACATCTCAGATCATACGTGGGCTTTGAAATATGCTCTGTTCCTGCGCAGCACAATCATGCCAGTAGCCCTCTGCGGGAAGGTACCAACTTATTCCACAATACTAGATCTTGACAGGAGGATCCGCGAGTATCCTGTGCCGGTATACCTGCGGCCTTCATGCGCTTCTTTCAGGTCAACGGATCCTATGCATTTCTTCATGGCTAGGGGTGCCGTTCTGTACAGAAAAGAAATCAGTGAGCTGTCCTAACCCGTCGTCCACCTTCCCCGTTTCTCTGTCTGATGTTTCCGTGTCGTCGCGCAGCGCTTCTTTACCTCCATCGAGGCTATTTCGCCCAAGCATTACAGGAGAAACCGGAGGACCCATTGCGGCATAGATTTGGCACTTCGGTCATGGCTGCATATCGATCCGCTTACAGGCTCATTATTGGGCTACGAGACTTGTTTGATCTCATTCCCGATCCAATGACGAGGATTACGATCCCTTGGTCGTATACGGTCTCCGCAACCGTGAGCACACAGCCAATTCACAGCTAGTTGAGACGACCTCACGTCGTATTCTTTATTAGATCGTGATGTGTCTTTTGGTGACGAAGGCCAGAGTTGCAAGCTTAACGAAGTCAGCTCTAGAGCACCTGGATATCGCTCACATTCTATTCGGAAGGGTAGCTGCTTTAAACTCCGCGTTTGATCATATGCGAGTGCGTACAGGCTTGTCTTCCAACATATCGGTGCAACAACTGAACTCTCCCTTTAGGAAATGATGAATAAAATGCATCATCTGGCCCATGCCGCGGCGAACAGGATGTACTTCCAGCGCGCTGTGATCGCTGAATTGGATCGCCTAGGGGGAAAGACTCGTTTCTTATCCGGAAACGATGTCTTCTGCCATCAGACAATTGTTACTGGCCTTGTCGCAGAGTCTAGCACGCCAGAAGTCCCCCTAGAGCATGTATCGCCCCCCGGGTCTGACGTCCCCTCAGACGCGTCGCTCATGCTCAACATTCCCGAGAATGTGCATCCAACGATCACGCAAGATCTTATGAACTTCGAATGCTTGACTGGATCGACGCCCTACGAGTTCAGCAGGGAATTATACGACCAGCCTGTGGAGGAAGCTTCGACAGCTCCAATTGGTCCCCCTGCCACAGACTTCGGGGACGGCTGGCACTTCGGCACCATTGGAGGCGATAGTCAACCACACCTCGAATTCCACTTGGCCAGCCAACTTCAGCCATCCTCAAATGTGCTGGATTCGACTTGGCAAGATTTCGTTCAGCAGCTTGGGACGAATGATCTACTCTGAGCATCAATGCATCGGGAGTCTGTCGCGGAGGTAAGAGAGGATCTGAATGGAGTTTGGAATCAAGTGTATAATAGGCTCGCGTGGATATTGTATCATAACTCGTTCGTGAGATATTGTAAATGCGTATGTTATCACCGTCTAGAGGTCCTAATCATATCGTTATTCGGTACTAAACTTATCTCGCTGCATTTCCTGCTGGCGTATTTATACCGACCGGAGACACGAAATTTTGAGCTAAGGTCGTCGCTGATTCTTCATCGTCGCCTTACATTCTCTTCTCATTGCCCGTCGACTTTCCCCTGCGCCTCCATACGCCTTCCTCGTCCCTTTTCCGGACAGTAAAGCACGCGATCCCGAGGAAGTTCGTGATTTCGCGTATGACGAGGATACAAAAGCGGGCATATAGGAGGCCGGAGAGGGCCACAGTGGCATAGACGAAACACTGCAGGCTCTTCGGGTCTTTCTGGATAATGGGTGGCCTAATGGGTGTGCGAAGACAGAACATACATTATATGCCCAGAGGGATAATATAGTTTAGACTGATACTGACCTTCCTAATATCCTAGGCAAATTGACATCTGCGGCCCCGACAGCGCACCACACCCACATCCAGTCCCACCACGGGAACGGCTGGCTCGTAACGTGCGCTAGTATCATCTTGCCGACCTGGCGCGCAAACTGCAGGCCCCACGCGCAGAGGAAGGGGACGAACAAGCTTGAGTACACTATGCTGGACTCGTGGATGCTGGGGGTGGAGAGCCAGAGGAGGTTGAGCGCGACGGAAGTGGGGAAGGGGAGGAGGAAGAGGAGGGGGCGGAAACGCGCCCCCTGGATGGCGGCGCGGGAGCGGTAGACGTTGATGTACCTGTTGTTTGACGTGTACGGGAGGCGGACCGGCAATGAAGGGAAGAACTCACGAGGTGAGGATGTTGAATGCCAGGGCGAGGCCACCGAAGATCATGAATGCGTCGTTTAGTCCCAAGTTCTTGGGCACGTATTGCAGGAGAGGGGCAATCGGGGGTGCGCGCGTAATGAATCCAGGAAGAACACTGAGGATCGGTGTGTCCCAAAATGCGGGTCCTAATCATCCGGTAACGTACTCATGAGGAACCATTATTTATCCCTAAGTAGAAAATTAGTCTTACCGTAGACGCCGCTGACCATATAAATCACGACAATCATGAGGATGCCTTCCACGGGGCCGGAAAACACGCCGAGGTACAGCTGTCCGGTATGGTATTCCTCCCACGTCGTGAGGTAGAAGTTAGCCAAGGTGGCGATCTGGGAAGCGACGGTCCACCATGAGCGGCCGAGGTTAAGGGCCCTCGAGGCAAGGATGACTTCGAGCTGATTGCACAATTGGATTGAGACTCTTGCTGGGGGATCCATGAAGGGAGAACAGACAGGTGAGGAGACGCACTGTTGTGTTCATCGCATCGCATCCATGGTCGAACATCTCGCCCAAGGGGCCGGCCATGCCAGTTCGCCTGGCTTGTTTACCGTCGATCGCGTCGAGAGTCTGGTACAGGAACAGACCCACAGCCCACCTTGGTACCAAGGACGGCATAAAACAGAGCTCCTCCTAGACCTTGCATAGGACTCACGTAAAGTACACCCATTGCGGAGGACCGACGGTGATCGCTCCCGCCCCGTCTTTCTCAGTCAAGTAGCCAGGGTCGTAATAGAGAAGCGTCGCAAAGTTGCAGAAGACAAGAGAGAGACCCGTGAGGGTTATCTAATGGAATCCATGTTAATGCTGAATTAACTGAAGAGACCGATGAGACTCACGACGTTGGGTGCAACCCACAGAGGCCATAATGTTACGAACCAATTCCAGAAGGGGTTGAGAATGTATCGGGAGACTATTGAGCTTTGTGCATGAATTCGTTAGTCTTGTATCTATGTAGTGGCCTGACAAAAACTCACTGGTCTACGCCCTTATAAGAGTACTTTTTCAAGTTGTACAGTGCTTGCTGCGGTATATAGCCCATGGTATACGGCCAAAACGTGAAGGACGTAGTTTCCAGTCGTTCACGTCTTCCTAGAAAGATAATATACAGAGATGTAAGGTAGAAATGCGTCGAGCCTCGGAGCGATGTACTGTTAAGGTGCAGCTGCCGACAACTATCGAAACATAGATCGACGGAGATCTAAGTCTCGGCAACCGCCGCGTCCTCCCAAGTTCCCTCTTCGCCTCAGAACATATCATCTGCTAATTCCTGAGGCTGCAGGGAACACAGCCCAAAGGCTTTCATGTTTGCTGCACGCCATGGCGGCAGTCTTCTGCGGACGTGTCTCTCGCTGAGCTCTAGACCGGCCACTGCGCCATCCAAGGTCTCGTTTCTGCAGGGCTCCAGCTCACAAATTCGCAAATTGGCAACAGAAGTTGCAGCCCCGAACCAAGTCCATGAAGCGTTGACGCGGACGTCGAATCTCTTCAAGACATACAAGCCTATTACTCCTGGTCGTCGCCACCTACGACGACCCCTCAATGAACACCTTTATGAAGGACGTCCCCTGCGTCTGCTGACGGTGCCGCTAAGGAAGAAAGGCGGACGAAACAGCACTGGCCGTATTACCGTCCGCCATCGCGGCGGCGGCCACAAGCGGCGTATACGGCTTGTTGACTTTATGCGCACCGAGCCGGGCCCCCACCAGGTCGTGCGCATTGAGTACGACCCCGGGAGGTCGGCACACATCGCACTACTCTACAATCCGGATCCCAACGTGAGTGGCCGGAAGAAATGGAGCTATATCCTTGCGCCCGAGAACATCAAGGCCGGAGATGTTGTGGAGAGCTTCAGGAACGGCGTGCCCGACGGGTTAGTGCCGGGGTACGTCGACTCGAAGGACAAGCGCGGCAAGCTTCTCGACACTGGCGTCGGGAGCGACACGTCCACAACCACCGCCTCACTCGCGCTTGGCTTGCTACGTTCGCGCACGATCAAGCCGGGCAACGTCCTGCCTTTGCGGCTCATCCCTACCGGCACTATCATCCACTGCATCTCCCTCCACCCCGACAAGCCCGGTATCCTCGTCCGGGCGGCGGGCACATTCGCGCAGGTCGTGGCGCACGACGACGTGGGAAAGTACACGCTCGTGAGGCTGCAGAGCGGCGAAGTGCGCAAGGTGCTGCAGGACTGCTGCGCGACGGTGGGGAAGGTCAGCAATCCGCTGTGGAAGAACCGTAGCTTAGGCAAGGCGGGGCGCGCTCGGTGGCTGGGCTGGCGGCCTACCGTGCGCGGTATGGCTATGAATGCGTACGTGTCGTGCGATATCTTATCACTGGCCACCTTGCTAACTGTCTTTTTCTTAGATGTGACCATCCCCACGGAGGAGGTCGTGGTAAGTCGAAGGGTAACAAGCAAGCGCGATCTGTGTGGGGTTGGCTTGCACGTGGCCGGCGCACGAGGAAGCCCGGTCCCAAGGGTCCCAAGAACAGCAATAAGATGGTTGTACGGGAGAGACCTAGGGGGAAGGAGAAGCGGTCTAACTAGATCCTGAACTAAGCACCCAGGATCGTGCCGTACTCGTGCTGGATTCTGCTTCGCTATAGGCCCTGTTACCTTCCCATATATGACAGTGTGTCTGCCCCGCTCCTAATTACTATGGATGTGAAGTCTAGACCTGTTAAAAGGCCCAGTAGCGTGCAAGCGAACCCTAGGTTGATAATATATATGCCACCGCGGTGCGCGAGTCTCGGACCGCGACTATATCCCTTGAACAAGTACGTCGCCCCGAAGGGCTCATTAACTGGAACAACCTCTGTTTCCTCCATCCTCGTCATGTATCCCCATCTGCGGATTAATGCATCATTGCGGATAGCGTGGATGAAAAGGGTCTTCCTCTTGCATTCTCGCATGGGGTTGGATCTGGTTTTGGTACCCATACAGCACCGGGGTGGGGTGAGGAACATGGCTACGTGCTCTGCTTACTCGATATCTGGACGGTCTCTGAACGATTAGCGTGCTAACCTTGGTAGCATCACACATCTTCCTCGTCTGATTCGTCCTCGTCGTCTTCGCTCTTCATCGGTACTGTCTTTTCCTTTCCTTGCTCTTTGTTCCCGACTGCATCTCTCCATGCCGTCAATTCCTCTCCCAGTTTGGATTTCGCTTCATTGATCGCGCTTCGCAACGACTCGTAGTATTCCTTCTGATCTCCGCCTGACACAGGGAACTCCTGCGTCTTCGTGGAAGACAGACCCTCCCCAGCTACACCTTCGGGAGGGTGCAAGTGATATGCGATGGTTATAGAGCGAGACATCGCGAGAATGCGGCACAGGGCGAACGTGCGCAACTCGAAACCATCCGACATCGCAATCGAATCTTTTATTGGGCACGGCATTTGCCGGCGGTGCAATGATTTTGATCGATCCCTCGCATTCCTTGCTCCTCGACCCCTTCCTCGACATGGACGTCCTCATGCAATAACCCTGGCAGCAACCGCTCTACTTTACCTGCTGCCATAGACAATAGAAGATACCCTCTAGACAACAGAGGCACGCAGTTATAATATTAATATTGGGCTTATAGAGGATTTCCTGGAATTTGCTTTGATTTCGGATAGACGGCCCTGCATAGAAGTGATAGACATGGCGCCATACGCAGTGCCGACCCCTCCGACGGCAAGCCTTCCTTCGCTGAAACGGCTGGCAGAGCACCCGGTTTCGCATATCAAGCAAGCTCTGCACAACTTGCGCGATATTTATTTCATTCCGATACCGCCTGCACCGACGAAGCTGCGCGTACCAAAGCGGCATCTGAAGACGCATATACACGATACGTCGGTGCCAGACTCTGGTTATGCATCCGCGGAGGAGGAGGACGATGCAGTTGATGTTGAAGAGGAGCGGGACCTTACTCCGGAGTTCGCGGATGAAGTAGATGCTGCCGACCCCGACATCCTTCGTTCCGACCCATTCGAACGTGCCTTTGCTATCAAATGGTTGACGGGATTCATCTCCCGCTCGGATGAGTGGATCTCGGCAGCTACTGATGAAGTAGAGGCAAACGAGCGGTATGACGTGCTAGACGATGTCACGGCTCTGCTGGCCAAGTTCGCCAGCGACGACCTCGAGGAGACCGGTTCTCTGACTCGCAAATTCTCATTCCCCACGGCCGAGACAGCAAGCGCGACTTGCATCGAAGTCGAGCTCAACGATGCCGCACTTTCGAAGGAAGATCACACCTCAGTCGGGTTGCAAAGCTGGGCGAGCTGCATCATCCTTGCCAGAAGGATGTGTCTAGTACCCTGCAACTATGGACTAGACAGGCCTGCGAGAGTGCTGGAGTTAGGGGCAGGCACAGGCCTGCTCAGCATCGTGGCCTCCAAGCTCCTCGGCTCCGCATCCCCCGGACCAGTAATATCCACTGACTACCACCCGGACGTTCTAGCGAACTTACGAAAGAACGTCGAGACCAACTTTGCGGACTTCCAGCCGGCTCCGGTCGATGTGCACAAGCTCGACTGGGAGCATCCGGATTACTCTGCACCCCTCGACCGGCCGTTCAACGTTATCCTTGCGGCGGACGTGATCTATCACCCGGAACATGCCAGCTGGATCAAGCGCTGCGTGGAGCGGCTGCTCGTCCGCCCCTCCGCCGAGAACGGCGGGAGAGGTGGGATATTTTGGTTGGCGATTCCCATGCGTACTGTCGGGCGACATGAGGGAATGGGTGATACCGTTGGCGCGGTCTTTCCTGCCGCTTCTGTGGTCTCCTCCGTGACGGAGAGGGCAGTTCTAGCTATCTTGAGCGAGGAGCGAGTCGAAAGGCAGGAAGGAGTCGGACGAGCGGACGAAGGCGGGTACAGGATCTTTAAGATCGGCTGGATTTAGTTGTCGGACCTACTTTGTTTATGACTGAAATGACGATCCCAAACGCTGCCGTCTTGCCAAGGTTTGATGCATAGATGGTACTATGCATCTCAGTCGGACCAGTGTCGTCGCAGGATAGGAATGGTACAACATATGTCCGATTATGTTCGGGTATGGGTTTCTACATGCAAGGCTACATACTTGTAGGCATATATTCGTTACTTCATAATTAGGCATGAGGGGCGTCCCCGAGAGAGGGGCCCCATTAATTTCAACTTTAACACGTCCCGTATGTCACCGGTTCCCGAGTCCGCACAACGCCAACGCAGCCCTCATGGTATCTTCGTCGACGTTTTGGTCCTTTTGCTGTGCTTGTAAGGTTCCTCGCTTGCTGGTATCTTCCGTGTAGCCAAAGCTGTCGTTGGGAGTGAGGGCTTCGTGCACCTCCTCGTCGGTATAGTCGTCGTCGTCCATATCCATGTCCCCCGCACTGCTCTTACTGCATTGCGTCTCCGTATCCTCCTCCGGCTCCTCCCTCAACGTCGCAAATAAACCCCCTTCTGCCAATTGCTGCTTAGTCGATACCCGTGCCACCGCGCACGCCCACTCCAGCGTCTTCCGGTTGCCCGCGTTTTTCGTCTTGCCGAACTCGATGTAGTGGTATTCGCGCACGGGGGATGATGGGGACTGGATGGGCGACGAGAGCATGCTGTCCCATAGGGTGGCATTGGGCCGCGGGTTCGGGCGGCGCGTGGGCGTGCTGGGGGGTTGGATGCGGAGCTCGGAGCGCGAGGCGATCTCGTCAAGGGAGAGGATGCGTGATGGGGCCGAGGCACGGGAGTGGGAGTGGGAATGGACGCGCGATTGTGGGCGCAACATGGCTTTACCTGCCTTGAGGGAGCTGCTGACGGACGCGCTGTTGTCCGAGGACGATAGGGACCGGGTAGTGTTGGTGCTATTGCGTAGGGCGACTTTGCGTTCCGACTGGCGTTTGTTCTGGAACCAAATAGTTACAGATCGTATTTCCCTGGAGGTGGCATACGTCAGCGCAAGAGTACCTATACATAGGTGGCAGAGGTGCGTACATCCCAGCTTGGTCGGCCAAGGCCTCTCGTTGCTGACGGGTAGGATGGGAACATTGGTGGAATAGTTGCTCGAGCATAGCCAACTGCTCGTGTGTGAACCTCTTGCGCGTCCTCCTGGCTGACTCCGAGCTGATAGTGGTGTCGTCCGACGACGTGCTTGCAATAGATGACATGCGCGATAGGGGTGCCGGTGCTCGACGTTCATGCTGGAGGTCGAAGTGAACAGCGTCCATGGCGGTCGAGGTGGTCGAAGGCAAGAAAGGTCCTGGACGTGTCGGGAGAGCCTGCGTACGCAATTATACGCACCGCGAAGGTTATGTAACGGGACGCGAGCGTGACATGCCAGTCGCGGACGCGTACAAACTCAACCTCCCAGGCGCGCCGCGCGTATTGACGCGTAGCACGTGACCGTGCTCGAACCACAGCGCTTGCCTTTTCTGGAGATGGCTATTTGTCTTCTTTCATTTTGAATATAGTTCCGTAGTGGAGCGCATATTTGCAATTTCAATCATGCGCCGTCTCGGAGGAGAGACATGCGTACGGTGCGTTTCTGCACGACATATGAATTGAGGGCTTCCAATATCGTCATATAGAGCATGGGCATGGGACATGTGGTAATGCGAACAATATACGATGAAGATTCACGAAATACACGAGAACTTTTACCGTTGCGCGTACAGCTGGAAAGCTCCGTCGGTAATCTGAAAATCAGTGGGATGAGGTCCCACTGGTGATATCCTCGAAAGCAGGACGGTCTGGGTTCCTCCGCTTACAGAATCATTCCTCCTGGACTTGGATGCGTCCCCTACCCGCATATGTGGCTCATTTGATGGAACAGCATCGGTCCAAGGATGACCAATGACCTCATCTGGTTGTTATGTTAGTATTTGTAGACCGGCTACCTCCCGCACGGCGATAGCACAATGGAAAACAAAGAACTGCTGGTACGGTTAGGACGAGCTACGGACTTCTCCGCCTTAACTGTAACCTGTACCGTGGCGAAGGCGTAAGCACAGATCACCTTACCACCCTTAAGACAGACTTACTTCACAGATCTGCTGTGACTGCACATGTATCCAAACCACACGTCTCTCGGTCGCCCGCCGTTACCACCCATCTTCAGGTCATAATTTAATACGATGTGTGCCATAAGTGCCTTCATGACGTAGGCTACGATAAAACGACCGGGCTGTTGCAACATTGAATATCGCAACATTCGCGCTAGCAGTGAGATTAGACTTACGCTAGTCAAAAGCAACGAGCATGATGTCGAATTCTGAAATAGCTGGCGAGAAATAGGACATACCAAGCATGTTTCCCATATCCCCAGGGCAGATAGTGCAGTTTAGGTACCACAAATCCATCCTCCCCATTAGCGAGTGAGTTAGAATCATCATAAAACCTCCAGCCATTGAATATTTCTGGATTGGGGTAGTGTCTCTCGTCGAAATGAACGTCCAAAGCGGCAGAGATATAAGAGCCCTCAGGGACATATGTCCCGTCGGAGAGGCGAATTGGTTTGACTGCCCGACGAGCATGTGTGACTGGTGGAGCAGAGGTTAGTTTGCAGCATGAGGGTGAGCACCGCAAAATACCTGAACCCAATCCATTCACTCGCATGGACTCCTTAAGGAAGCTGTCCATTTTGACGAGACGATCGAGAGCAGCTTTGGACCATCCGAACGAATCAATGATGCAGTGCGCTTCTTCTCTCAGCGGCCCTGCATAGTCGGCATGCACAGCCATATTGATGATAGCTTGCGTGAAGGACTGCGAGCGAAGTGAGACCAAGGTCAGCTGTAGCAAAGTGACCCACCAGCGACGAGGTATGAGTCGAAGCACCGTTTACGGCTAAAAGTCGTATAGTCAAATCATGCGGATCCGATTGAGTACCTTTTGCTATGTCCATCAGCCAAGAAAGTACGTCGTTCTGAGACCATTCAGTACACACATCCAGAGACCGCAGCACAGTACTGACCGGCTTATTCGACCAGTCCTTTCCATATTCCGAAATAGCTGCTTTCCTATCAAGTATCATAGGGAGGTAGTGCTTCATGGAAGCGGCTACAGTCTTTGGAAGTCGCGTCACGAGTCGCCCAACCAGGCTAATGGAGATTAACATTTTAGCAATGGGACGAATTGGAAAGGTATCAGATGCGTACGGTCTCAAGAAGCTCGGGAATGTATTTATGAAAAACCCGATGATGAATCGCTCAAGTGCACTTCGGGAGGCAATTTCGATGTAATTTTCATTCCTACCTAGACACAAAGATGAAAAGGTCCACAGGGCAGAAGAGAGAGATGACACCTACATAGGGAGGGGCCAACTATGATGCGATTGAATGTCCTGGACATAACCTTGACTAGGGGTTCCACGACATCCATCTCTTTCCACTCATCTAAGACATCAATATAATCATGCTTCATTCGAGGCCAACCACCTGTACGCACCATCGCAGTGTCTACCAATCTGCTCCTCAAAGGCTAGAAGTACCTCTTCCGTCGTTTCAGAGACCATGTGTTCGAGATTGCGGCGGAGCTTTGAAGTGAGTTAGTCAGAGGTCGAGATGTCCTCGCCGCTCGGAATTACTTACTTTAACTTTCAACACGGGGACGTGGTAAGGGTCGAAATGAAGATTCTCTCCCATCGTGTACTTCATTTGCAACTCCTGTTGCCACCAAGTCACTTCTCCGAACTCTGGTATGGCTCATTTACGACGTACGTACCTCGTAGGCAGACTCTAGCAGGGATAACGTGTCATCTGGCAATGAATGAATCTCCTTCACTGTTCGCGTTGTTAGGATGGGGTCTTCCGTGTTTGAGTTGAAAGTGTTACCTAAAGTATCCCCGGCGACTACGTAGAGCCAGCTGTTCCAGCGAGGCAGCTTGAATACACCCTGAGACTTGACCTACATTCAGATGAGTAGTGAATTTGAATGCATCTGAAGTCATAGACCTTGCGGTAGCCCTCAGCTGTCATCTTCCTTGCGTGGAAGAAGAACCGGAAGCCTCCGTAATACGGCCCCAACCAATGAGGATAGCCAATAGGTGGTGCACCCATCTGCTTACATGAATTATAATCAGTGTTGCTAGCAGATGACGGGAAATATCAGTAGAGTAGAGCCTGACCTTTGAGAAGAGAATGGATAAAGCATGGAACATGATCACAAGATTGACAAAGCAGGATAGAGAGAGAAGTGGATCTCCAGAAAGCCAATGCCACACAGCAAAGACAAGGGGAAGATGCATTTCAGGTCACAATGATACTGTTGAATGGATTCTGCAAGATGGGAGAAAACAGTGAGTAGGAAGCAGCATATCTTATCTGCCTCTAATATATTCTGCCCTTGTAGTGTACATGTATCCAGTTCGGATATCAATGCATTGACCTGTGGACATCCGACATCATGATGATGATCGTGAATACAAACCCAGAATCACGGCCACAGCTGGAAGAGGGATGAAGAGTTGTAACACCTGATCGAGGCTGAGGATTGATGAAAGATTAGAATTTCTCGACCTCTGCCTTCCGCTCACTGAAATTGCGTCTCGCCGTTATCGATCGCATGCAAATAAAGAGAAGTATTCAGGACTACAATCATACCCTCTAGAGATCGTGATATCGGCGAAATGGGGAAGTCTCGATATCAGAGGTCAGCAGTAGTCTTTCCCCCTCATGATGTTCACCGGATGACAGCAGTCACACCAAGGCCCTGTTCACCCGAGAACCTTCATAAGCGCGGCGGTAATTTCAAGTCCTTGAGGCTCCGTTAGACCAACTGCGCTATTTCATTCTGGAGCCCGGAAGGAGTTGATGAAATGTATGAGCCAACCGGGTGTGAACCAGCAGATAGATGCCAAGGTTCGGCCTGACACGGCGGGCAAAGCAGGTGTCCTTTTTCCGGACGGCAGGAAAAAGGACACTATGTCCTTTCACGGCGACCATCAGTGGGTCAGGAAGTAAATCTGTCACGATTGCGTCATGGTTGTGACAATGGGTCACGCAGTCTGCATTTATAATATGAAAAACCCTCGGACGCTCAGTTTTACAAAGCGAAGCATGCCATATGACCCGATAGGTGACTTTCCGTCCATATTCGGACCTTAGGCTCCCACCCGAGACTCCTAGAGTAATGTGACTGTTACAAGCAAGTCACCCATTACTGGGTCTGCTTGAGCAACTTCAAGTACAAGTCCGTCTCATCATCTGATACTGCAGCAGTGGTGCCATCCGGTTGGAGATATGTGCAAGCCTTCGCCAGCGGACTATTCATGGCCGATGCATCCTTGATTTTGCCGGTCAAACGACTGCTCCGACATATCTGCCTCAGCATCGTATAGTCGAGATCACCAAAGCACGCCTGTATGCGGCTCGCTTATTCGGCTTGCTGTTCCATTGTATTTGAGAACCGTCCGAGACGATTCATGGTGTGCGTCCAGATCGCATAGCAAGCAACTTCGTAGCTACCAGGTCTCAAATCTCATCTGATATTCACAAACTTCAACTCTGGCAGGCTCTACAGTGTTGAGCATGGAGATATGAGAGTACATTCCACCTTGCTTGCTGATGGATACAAAAACCATGCAAGTACAGT